TTGTGAACCATTGATGTGTCTGGTAAATTGTATGAAAATGTTGTTCTTATGTCGAGAATAATTAATGTGTCGGCAATCATGGGTACTGTGACGTACGTTAAGTATAATAAACATTTGTTACCAATGTTAACAATTTGTAACCAATGGTAAAAAAGTGTAACAGAAGTTACCAATGAATGGTCAAACCCGGAACGCACCTAATTACTTTTACAAAGTTCTATACTGGAAGTACTTCGTACTGAAGAGCGAAACTGTCAAACACTGTGACAACAGAAGTTAAGACTATTCACAGGCGTCATATCCATTAAATAACACTTAACAAACAACAATCACTTACTACTGCACAAAGTTATTGTCTTACAATGTACTCTTATTACATGTAACTACTGATTATTAATCTATCAAATTCTGACTCCTTTCGAATTATCTCAGTCATGTTTATGTTATCAAAATATAAAAATCTACCCTTGTTTCACAAGTATATACATTTATAATCAAATAACTTAGGTACAACTCTTCGAAAAGCACATTCATATATAACAAATATAAATTTTCGTGAGTAAACGAACTTCATAAACCCGCTTCAAATCACCATGATAACATATTACAGACATTGACCCTATTTAAAAGAAAAATCAACCTGCTCCAAGCTCTCAAAAATATAGTAAAATATTACAGTCATTAACTCACAATGATTAAACACCTCTGTGCATTAAATAATAAATATCATGCAACATAACTGTCATTGCATAAAATAAAGGGGGGGGGGGGTCACATACACTACATTTGTAAACATAGAATTGCCACATACATGTAGACGTGAACCTTCAGAGTCTTGCCCCCCCCCCCTCCCCCCGAACTAAAAAAAACATAGGTAATTAGAGATTACAGAGTTTGCCTCAACGAATGTTGTCTTTAAGTAAAGTTAAGTCCCACACAAAGCTAATGATCTAGTAGTGTACATCCCTAGAGGCAGGATTTTAGGCAATTTTGGTCTGAGAGGGCTTGCAGTTGCTTGGGAAGGAACTTATCTAAAAAATTCAAACTAGTCACTCATTCTGAAAATTAAGTCAAATCCAGCATCTGAAGCAAGTTTGAGCGTGTTAATCCCTTGATGTATCATTCATGTAAGTTTGATTCAGATAAGCCTTATAGTTTCTTTGTATTGGACCTGCCCCCAAAAACTTTAACCTGGTCACTCATTTGTAGGTCACATCCAGCGTCTGAAACAACTCTGGTAGTGTTCATCCCTTGATGCATCTTCCTTGCAAGTTTAGTTCAGACAGGCCTTATAATTTCTTGGTCACAGACTTCTTCCAAAAACTTTAACTCTTCACTCATCTGGAAAATGTAGGTCAAATCCCGCATCAAAAGCAACCCTGGTAGTGTGCATCAATAAATGTATCTTCAGTGCCATGTTGGTCAGCAGAGGGCTAATAATCACTTTATATAGAAAGAAACTGCTCCAAAAAAGGTTAACCTGTTTGCTTATCTGAAAAATGTTGGTTAAATTCAGCATCCGAAGCAAGTCTGGTAGTGTGCTCCAAAAACTTTAACCTGGTCACTCATCTGGAAAATGTCCAGCATCCGATGCAAGTCCAGTAGTGTGCATCATCCATGCAAGTTTGGTCAGTAAAGGGCTTATAGTTACTTGGAAATGAGACCAGCTCCAAAAACTTTAACCTGGTCAGTCATCCGGAAAATGTAGGTCAGATCCAGCATCCAAAGCAAGCCTGGTAGTATGCATCCTTTGATGTATCATCTATGCAAGTTTGGTCAACATAGGACATAGTTACTTGGAAATGAGACCTGCTCCAAAATTTTAACCTGCTCCAAAAACATTAACCTAGTCATTCTCAAGCTGAAATTGCAGCATCTAAAATCTTCACTGGCACAATGAAACATACTAGAAGCATCTTCCATGCATCTTTGATTACCGGAAATATAGGTCATAGAAGTACCTAAAAATAAAACTTCACTAAAACTTTAACCTGGGACACCGACGCTGAGGGTATTACATATACCATCTTCGTTGAGGTGAGCTAAAAATTTAATAGAATATATATCAGGCCAAACAAAACAATATGTGTGGTTCCGGTTACACTTCCAAAAAAAATTAGGGTAGGTAGGTAGGGATTTTTTTTTTTTTTTTTTTTTTTTTTTTTTTTTTTAACAAAATGATTTTCTTAATTTTTTCTAATAATACCTATCACTGCTTTGCAAATGGCATTTAGATGTGATGTGATAATATACTAGTCAATATTGGTAGGAGACACCTACATGCTAGCTTGCTTTGGATTTAACACTATTAAACACTTGCACTATGTTTTGCAAGGAGACCGTCATTGCTGAAACTAAAACTTAAACTGGAGCCATTGATGGAAATCGGGGGAAATTCCGGAAAAAATATGAAAATTGCCAAAAAAAGTTTAGGGTCGGGGGTATAAAATAGGGAAGGTCGGGTAACCGGAACCACACATATTTTTTTATTTGGCCTCAGATAAAATGTAACCATCAGCCCCCATCAAATCTAACCTCTTATTACTTTGAATGATGTAAAATATTTTTGTTTCATTACGGCCAATCTGCATCAGCTTAGTCACAAAGTTAAAAGTGGGAGGGGGTCAACCAAATAAAATAAGAGATAAAAAAAGAGATGTAATTATCCAACTACAAGTATTCCTCTTTATTTTTCGGAATATATTTTCAGACCTGCATGCACCAAACTCAGGTAAAAAGCTGGAGAAGGGGCACAAAGATACTCTTGCCTCTCACTCTCTTCAAAAGTGGTGTTGGGAATAGTAGCCCCCAAAGACTATGCCTACGATCTACATGTAACTGCTGATATCTCTTCATCCCCCTTTTTCAAAATATTTCTGAATCTCAAAATTAATATATGTATCAGCCTATAATTGTATACGATAAGAAACACATGGACAGGAGCTGTCTGATTTCTGAGTGAAGTGACGTTTCATTAGAATTCAGTCCCCCGCGAATTTTTGTCACTTTTTTCCATCGGAAATATTCATATATTTATATCGATATAACTAGACATTTAATATACAAATATAACCCTTTCATGAGGTCGATCCATAAATATATCGACTTCACAGCAAATCAACCGAGCAACAGATCAAATTTAAAATAGCCAATCAGAGAGCTTGGAAAAATAGAGAAAAATAATATTGTTACGTACATGTATTGACATTACTATATTAATATGATTTAGTATCTTGCTTAAAGCCTTCAATCAATATCTTAAAATCAGTATTTTTGACTTGCTATAACTTACAGCAATAAAATCAATGAAATAAATAATTTAAGGTGCCTTAAACTTATGTAAAAACACCTAGATACAATTCAAAATATGTGTGTAGATAAGGAGTTATAACACTGACTTTATATGTTGATAAGACAATAAAGAATAAGATAATGCACAATGTAGAGACCTTTGCGGTTCCGTACATCGTCCCGCCTTTACGACGGCCTTTTCGGTAGAAGGTAATTTGAGTTACCGTGCACTCAATTACAGATAAATTGTGCATTTTAAGGCCATCTTTAAAAAAATTGTTTGTTTGCCCTCTCCCGACCGACTGGCTAAAAATGGCCCGACTCAAAACTTTTTTTAACCTTCAAGGCCACGACATTTTTTTTCTTTTAATTCCTGAATTTTTTCGTCCCGTCAACAAATATATCAAAACTTTCTGGAAAAAAAAGTTTTTCTAACCTACCTATCGACCCAATTTTTTTTTACCCTGAGTTGCATGAGTGAGGGCAAGCAAACATTATTTTGAACATGGCCTAAACTCCTTTCTTAAGAAAGAAAAAAACATGTTTTTAAAAGTATTTCTTTTAGTGTAGTACCAAAGTTTTAATCAATTAATGCTTCAGTTAAGTGATTTTTTTATCAACTAATAATTTTTAAACATCATAATATTGCATCTGCTCATTCACTGCAAATCTGTTGTGTTTACTTTACACTTCCTTGCCAACCGAATCATAAACCCCTCTTCGGCGTTCTCTTTGACTGGTGAGTCGACATGATTTATAAATTAATTTTAATATACAAAAAGATTTAAAATTATATTTCTAGCATGAAAATGGAAGAAAAAATTGTCATCTGAAAACATTTATATTTATTGATTATAATATTCATATAAGAAAAAGATAATATATTAATGCTGTAAAGCTAAGCGAGAAAATTTTGTTATCAGTACATACCGTACCTTAAAAATTATTATGTCAGGCCATTTCTCTTAATTTAAGTATAAAAAAATGCTAAGAGCAAAATAAAATTCCACATAGCTAGGAAAGCTTTATCGATTTGCACACTAACATGGCCTATTTTACATTATATCGTACTTTCGATTTTATTTTTTTGAAAAAATCTGTCCATAAAAGAGAAGCCATGTATCAATGTTCTAGAAATCTACAGTGGAATTAGGTCTTATTTTACTGAATGTCTGGCTGAGATATATGATAAACTAGAAATCTACACTGGTAATAGGTCTTATTTTACTGAATGTCTGTCTGAGATATACAATAAAACTTTTTTTTTCAAATGAAACAGAACCTTTTGAACTGTTGCCCAGAAATAAAATTCAAATCATACCAAATCATATCAAATCAAAAAGGTTCTTAATAAAAAGATGCTACAAGTGTTAGCTATTTCAAATGCTATTTGAATCTGGATCATGGCATAGATATTATCTTCAACCAATTACAGATGTCGTTAAGCTTTCTTCTGCATCATAAATACAGGATAAAAGGAAGGATACTTGGTACAAACAAAATTGAATCATGGATTGCTATACATTTGATTTATTTTGGTTGAAAATGAAATCTCTAAAATATTAGAAAATAGACTTTTTTTGACGTTCAAACTCCCTTTTTGACATCTCCCTTATATGAATTCATAAATCTATATATTTTTGTATCACTTTATGGGACTGTTGAATTAATTTTGATATGGTAAAACAGTTATTTATCAGTTAGGTAACATGGTGTCGATCGACAAAGAAACGGTGTACCTAGGAAATCTACGAAAGAACATTCTATCTAAGGATCTTAAAGACGATGCTTTGACTAAAGGAAAAGATTTTCAACAGAATCAGAATCAACACAACCCATATCCATTAGATAATAGACAGAATACTGTAACAGGGAAAGGTGATGAAGCTCATCGTGAGTTTTACTTAGAAGGGGAGCAACTAGGTAATGAAACTAGACATAAGGAGTTCAAAGAAGGTTGCATAGCATTTGACAAAAATGCAAGGAAGGAGCTTTTATCAAAATACGTATGCGCATTCCTAAACAGTGGCGAGGGCGGAACATTGTATCTCGGGGTAGATGACGGTGGTAGGAAAATAATGTCATATTAAAAGAAGATAGGCGAACAAGGCGAGAGCGATGCCTATAGTGTAGAAAACATGAAGGTGAAAAAATAAATCTCAATTATATGAAAATTTTCTACGATATTTCATCTAAAATTAAAGTGTTCTTTATGTAAAATCTCCACAATTCATAAAAATCTCACTAAGATTGAAATTATTTGCCTATGAAATAGCATACACACACTATAGAGGGCAAAAAGGATCATTTTCTCATACTAAAACACGATTTTTCGATATGAGTGGGTCTTCGCTCCATATTTTTCAAAGTTTATCCTCAAAGTTTGCAAAAAAAAAAAACAACAACATTTTTTGGTCAACAAAAACATGGAGCAAAGACCCACTATACCTTAAGGACCCTCTATACACCGATGAAAAATGTTTTTTGGACTTTAAAAAAATTATATAACGTAAAGAAGGATATTTTGAAATTAACTAATTCATTTTTAATATAGGGAGCCTGCCTTTTTTATCCGGGAAAAATCTTCAAAGACAATGAAGTAGTGATTAAGAAAAATCACTTTTCCTTACTCAGATGGAGAAAATACATGCAAATAATGTCTTCAACTAATCTATCTTGGTCTAATATAATGTTTAGAACACTTGAATTTATTTTAAATTATGTCATACAGTGCAGATTACAACTTATTCTATTTTATGTCAAGTGGCGGGTCAGTCTAACTACACAAAAGTACCCTGAAATTAGGGTGCAGTGTAGAGAAGGTCCTTAAAAATACACTTTAATGACACAACATTCGCATCTTTTTTATCGATAAAAATACTTGAAGTCCATTTAGTCAAGGGTCATATCAGAAACATGATTTAAATGCCACAATTCATCAAGAGCTGTGTAGCTTAGTGGTTAACGTGGTAGTCTCGAAGGAAAATGGTTTTCATGATTTTTATTACTAGGGTTAGAACCCCACGAATACCACACTATATTTTTATTAACAGAATATCTTTTGCCGAGAAAATTTTCCTCAGATAAGTTTTGTTAATCATAATTTCATAAATTTCAATAATGAGAACTTTACTCTTAATACTAAATTCACGAACTGATTATGATTTTTATACATCTGAAGCTATAGGCATTCTGCGCATCTGTTCACCCATCTCCTTTCAATAGAGCAAGATTGAATCTAAATGAAATCCAATAAAAAGAAATGTTTGCTTAATACTTGATAATGTATGTTTTTTTTCTCTTTCTTTTTTTTTAAATATTTTTTTTTGACTAAAACATTGATATTTTACATTTGAGGTTATGTCAAAGGAGTTTCGTGTTCACAGGCCTGGGAGGACGAGATGAGGTTGGATATTGATACAGCAATTAAGACCATCCAACCAACTGTCTTTACTCATTTGTATTACGTAAAATTCACTCCTGTCTTTACAAAATCAGAAAATCGCAAAGGTATGCTGATACATAAATGGAATATTCTCCTTAAGTTCCTTAAACACATTTCATGCATGAATAGATAACAAGTTCTGTATGACTCTCCAGTAAAAATTCCTCTAAACTGCACTGTCGAAGTTCAATTTTATGGTTCTTTTTTGGGAGTCGGATGGTTACTACACTAATACAACTATTGTTAGGAATTCCGTTCAAATAATTATGACATTGTAGAGCATCGCGACACATTGCATGGGTGCGTTCAAGATCATAGCGGCCTCAGGTACTTGTTGACACCCCCCCCCCCCCTCCCGCCCGATATTCAACCACGGGTTTCCCACATATTATATTTATTACACTTATTTATCACTAGACAAAATTGCTAACGCACCACTTAGTATTTCCATCTGCAAATATGACATCTGCCTCATCGACACGAATAAATCAAAATTTGCGTTTTTCCTACTGCAGCCGAATTTGTTAATATCTTTATTTCAACACAACACCCTCAAATGACCCTCTAGCACGCAAACTAATTTCCCGAAGTCAATTGCGCACCTTTAATGCGCTGATTACGCAGCATAGCCTAAAGTTGGCGGTGACCAATGGTTGTCAGAGAGGTTGTGACAGCGAAGGTGACCCCTCTCTCGATATCAAGCAAAATGTCTAGGATTTCGCCTAGTGGTTTCTTGGTGCTTTGGCATCCGTACCCGGTTCATCATACTTTCAGTTGCCACAGTTTTTAATTGCAATATTGCAATAGTTGTGTATGTGGTGTCTATTAAATGTGTTTTCTCATAGAAGGCATTTTTACATTCCTTAATCGAGTCAAAGTATTTCTTTTTCAATAGAAACAACAGTTTTTGAATTGTTTTATTTTTAAACAAACATCTCCAAAGGATTACCTTGCAGACACGATACAACTGCCATACTACACTCTTCTATGATAAAACGCTGCATACCCAGTCATGTTTTTCTGAGATTTTAAAGAATGCAAACATAAAGAACACAATTTCAGTGAGGAAAATGGAAATTTATTCCTCTGATACTTGTGAGCACGAGTTTTCTGCACTTCTATGAAATGGTTACTCTTCAGTTATTTTTAGACACCAAGGCACCCCATAGAAATCATTAGTCTTTACCATTGAAGATGGTAAGGTAATTGTATTAACCTCTTGTTTATGCACACTACACGTACATTTTTACCAACTCGACTCCGTTTATTTCCAATTCAGAGAGGCCACTGGTGTGGGATTTCAGTGGGGTACTATCCTACTCTAGAGTTATTTTTCCGTGGGGGGAAATCCTACTCTAAAGCCTATTTTCATGGCCGGGGTAAATCCTACTCTAGAGCCGGTTTTCTAGGGGGAAAGATTTTAGAGGGAAAACCTACTCTACAAGACCGGTGTCATTTAATATATTGAACCCCGCGATATTTTGAACCCGGGTTCAAAATATCGCTGCGAAATATTGAATCCCCTATAAAATATTGATCCCGGGGTTCAAAATATTATGGCCATAATATTTTGAACCCGGGGTTCAATATATTATAGACTTATGGCCATAATATTTTGAACCCGGGGTTCAATATATTATAGCCTTAGGGCCATAATATTTTGAACCCCGGGTTCAATATATTATAACCTTTTGGCCATAATATTTTGAACCCCAGGTTCATTATATTATAGCCTTACGGCCATAATATTTTGAACCCCATTACAGACATTCTCTGTTTAAAGCATAGGGGTTCCTAAGATTATGGTGTTGAAATGTTGTACCTCCTAATCTTATAATTTTTTGGTAGGTTAGGGTGGAGGTTTAAGATAGGATTTATGGCTGTAAAATGTTGTACCCCCTATTAGACATATATGTGTACAGGAGGGTGTTTAAAAATTATTGATCTAAAAATAATTTTTGAATGGTAAGAGGGGGTTCAAGATATGGCAGTGAAATGTTCAACCTCACAACATTTTATAAGGGGTAGAAAATATTATGGCTGAGAAGTATTGAACCTCCATTTAAAGACTACTATGGAAAAGGAAGTGAAAGTATCTAACACCCGTCTCACACACACCAACAACTTTGATTTAATTGTTAGATCACGAGGGTTGGGTATCTTTATATTAAAATTGTATTTTTTTATATATATATGTGCAATACCTAAAGAAGTGAGAATAAAATAATATAATCAAAATATTGAAGTCTGAAGTTGCCACCAGGAAATTAAAATAATTGTCTTTTACCATCAAACCCCAAATATTCTACATCAAATAACTAAAATAACTTAATATGTCTGATGGAAAAACAATTATGAAATATTTATTTCTTTGTCTTTTATCCCATCCCATAAGTTTTTTTTTAATTGTATTATTATTATAATATTTTTGGTATAATTTACAATTTGAAAAAAAGACAAGAGGCCCAAGCGCCTTAACGGTCACCTGAGTATAATACAACAATTTAGAGGATCCATAGAGTATAAAATAAACTGATAGATGAAGCTTTGTTGCCCAAAAGCAAGAGAAATAGGATGATCAGAATCAATGAAATAATTAGTCTAGTATTCAGTAACAACTCATACATTAAATTCTAATTTATCCCCCATTTAGCACTATCACCATGCAGACTATTAACAAACTAATAGTTCCTCTGTACTACTTTTAACCCCACATTGCGACCTCTCACACTGGCCCCTCTTGGTCTTTGAAGAACATTTAATAAGTTACTTTTGTCTCATTTTTATCTATTTATTATTTACAAGTCTATCTGATCATTAAAACTATGAAAGTACTTTTTGTATTATTCAATAATTTTTTCCCATAATTCTCTTATTCTATTCACTTTCAAATACATTATTTACAGTGATTAATTATCAAAGGTGAATGGCAAAGGGGAATAACTTCACTCAGTAGAATACAAATTAATAGAGCCCTGGCCAGGACCAGAACACTTGACTAAATGGTGAAGATGTTCAAAATTCTGGTTAAAAAAACCCTTGCTTATTAAAACTTTTTACTCTGTTTGCCTCCAATATGCCTAGGAGCAGAGAAGATCTCCAAAGAAATAATGCATTTTCACTATTTAACACAGCCCTACCCTAACACCAGAACCCATGAGCCGGGGTCATGAAATTTACAAATTTGGAAGAAGTACCCTCATCATCATAACTATGCAATTACATGTAGTTGAAGATTTTCAAAGAATTCACCCATTTTCACTATATTATCAATAGAGCCCCCCTCCCCCCCCCCCCTCACAGACACATCAGAACCCCTGGGACCACAAGTTTTAAAAATTTTGTAAAAGCATCCTTGCTCATCATAACTATACACTTGTTTCTTTGCTTTATAACCAGTAGCAAAAAAAAATTTTGAAAAAAATTATGAATTTTCACTATATAATCAATAGAGCCCCCCCCCCCCCCCCCTTTCACCAGAACCCTTGACCCTGTGGACAGAATTTCACAATTTTGGAAGAGGTATTCTTGCTTATCATAACCATGCACTTCCTTTGTTTAAATAATACCCAGGAGCAGATAAGAAGATTTTCAAAGATTTAGTGCATTTTCACTAAAACCAATAGAGCCCCGCCCTAACACCAAAACCCCTGATCCAGGGGCCATGAAATTCAAAATGTTGGAAGAGGCAGCCATGCTAATCATAACTATGTACTTAGTTAGTTTATTTAATATCCATGAGCAGAGAAGAATATTTTCAAAGATTTAATGCATTTTCACTATATAATCAACAGAGCCCCGCCCTAACACCAGAACCCCTGACCCAGGGGCCATGAAATTCACAATTTTAGAAGAGGCAGTCTTACTCAACATAACCCCCCTCCCTCTTAAATTAAAAGGCTAGGGGGACTGAAAATTTTATGGTCATAATATCTTGAACCCCCCCTCCCTCTTAAATTTAAGAGTAGGGGGACTCAATATTTTATGGTCATAATATCTTGAGCCCCCCTCCCTCTTGAATTAAAAGGGTAGGGGACTCAATATTTTATGGTCATAATATATTGAACCCCCCTCCCTCTTAAATTATAAGTATAGGGGGACTCAATATTTTATGGTCATAATATCTTGAACCCCCTCCCTCTTAAATTAAAAGGATAAGGGGACTCAATATTTTATGGTCATAATATCTTGAACCCACTCCCTCTTAAATTTAAGGGTAAGGGGACTCAATATTTTATGGTCATAATATCTTGAACCCACTCCCTCTTAAATTTAAGGGTAGGGGGACTCAAAATTTTATGGTCATAATATTTTGAACCCCCCTCCCTCTTAAATCATAAGTGTACGGGGATTCAATATTTTATGGTCATAATATCTTGAAACCCCCTCCCTCTTAAATTGAAAGAGTAAGGGGACTCAATATTTTATGGTCATAATATCTTGACCCCCCCCCTCCCTCTTAAATTAAAAGAGGTGAGGAGACTCAATATTTTATGGTCATAATATCTTGAACCCCCCTCCCTCTTAAATTTAAGGGTAGGGGGGCTCAATATTTTATGGTCATAATATCTTGAACCCCCTTTCTCTTAAATTAAAAAGGTAAGGGAACTCAATATTTTATGGTCATAATATCTTGAACCCCCCCCCTCTTAAATTAAAAGGGTAGGGGACTCAATATATTATAACCGTAATATGATGAACCCACCGGGCTCAATATTTTATGAGGGGGTTCGTTATATCGCAGCGAAAAAATGAACCCAGGTTCAAAATATTATGCGATATATTGAACCCGGGTTCAATATATCGCGGTATCAAAATATTATGCTACATCGGAACTTTCAGGAGAAAATTTTTGATAGGAAATGAAAGCGCCATGTCTCTACTTTATCTTGATGCTTGAAGTGGAACATAGATTGTAAGTCAATAAATTGGTATATTTACAGGGCCTTTTTATGCCTAAAGTGAACCTAGCTCTTTTGCACGACACACCCGCAGCAGTCCAAATGCGCCCATTTTCTCTGGTACATGTATCTATCTGTTGTGCGCCGGTTAAAAGGATATTCCCTTTAAAAATCTATACATGTACTATATGTAATGTCAAGGAGTGAATTTGTTTATTTTACTTTTACTTTGATGTTTCAGCATCTGTGTTATATTTCTTAAATTGACATCTCACCCCCTCCTGTCCCAATGACAGTATTATAAGATTGGTCATTTGCAAAATTATTTTGTTAAAAAACATTCTGACTGTACACACAAGTACTCTGAAGTTGATATTAAAAAGATGCTTGAGTTTCTGATTGACAATATCTATGTGGTTTTTGGAGACCAGGTCTTCCAACAATCTATTGGAATTCACATGGATACCAATTGCGCCCCGTTATTAGCAGACCTATTTTTGTATTCATATGAAGCAGAATTTGTTTAAAATCTTATACTTGAAAAGAAGAAAACACTAGCTGTGGCCTTCAACTCGACATTTAGATATATCGACGACGTATTGTTAATTAATGATTATTTCCATTCTTATGTCGATACGATATATCCCAGTGAGCTTGAGATAAAAGATACCAAGAGTCTGATACATGTGTTTCATATTTGGATATTTTACTAGAAAAAGACGTTAATGGTAATCTAACAACCAAGCTTTATGATAAACGTGATGACTTTAACTGTTCAATCGTCAACCTCCCTACTTATGCAGCAATATAACTTCATCACCTGCATACGGGGTTTATATCTCTCAGTTGATTCGATACGCAAGAGCATGTTCTACGTATGAACAATTTCTAAAACGATGTAAGTTATTGACAAACAAGTTGATGAAACAAGAATATCACCAGTGTCGTTTAAAGTCGTCATTTCGTAAGTTCTATGGTCGATACAATGACCTTGTCAAACATTACAATTTATCATAAAGTCAAATGTTGACTGACGTTTTTCATACTAATTGTTAGGTCATTATTTACACACTGAATTGTCGACGGATTTTTCCGTTATTTCCCGATCATGACAAAGAGCACACGGCGGGTTTGACCGGTCGTCAGGGGATGCTCACTCCTCCATACATTTCATTTACGTTCAGCGCAGAGATAAAAAGTTAAGCATTTCCTGTTTTGAGAATTCTTACTTAATTAATGTCAACCAGCTATTGTTGATGTTGCAATTTCAGTTAAATACCCGTGCATTGGTTATTTTGGAAATGTGGGAGGAGTTTGGGGAAATGAGATGATATTTGAATTGCGTATGAAATTTTTAGTTTATAAGAGAAGAGTTTTAGTGAGTTACCTGTAAAAATTTGAATTCAGCAATAAAGATTGAAAGTCGACATGTATAGTGACGATAGACGCTTTTTATATTTTTAATTTATTTTTATACAAGAAAACAATTCCATTGTAAACTATTTTAAAAAATAAAATTATCGATAAACACATTGAAGATCTGCAATATTTAGAATGAAATACTACAGTATTGCCACATTATTTTTTCACAATTAAAGCAACTGTTATCGTTTGATTTTCAGGGGATTATAAAGTGATAGAACTAACAGTCCGTCGTAATGAAGACATGGATCGATTGTATTACACTCCCCAAGGAATGTTTCTTAGAAGAGACGGAAGCGTACATAAATTGAAAGCCGAAGAAGTGCAAGAGTGGGCATTTCAGGTAATCCAGAAACAAACATGTACTGCAATGAAAATATACTACAATTATATCAATTATAAATTAAATATTAAAAACATACATATACTACAATAGACATTATAAATTAAATATTAAAAACATACAAATACTACAATAGATATTATAAATTAAATATTAAAAACATACATATACTACAATAGACATTATAAATTAAATATTAAAAACATACAAATACTACAATAGATATTATAAATTAAATATTAAAAACATACATATTCTACAATAACAATTACAAATTAAATATTAAAAATAAATATGTACTACAATAACATTTATAAATTAAATATTGAAAACAAACATGCAAAATCTGTTAAAACAAATTCATCTAATCTAGGGTCAAACATGCAAGTGCTACATTAACAGTTATTATATACAAAGTAACGTGTTAGAATCAAAAAGCAAATCCATGAAAACCATTGTAGAGTAATTTAAGTTATACAATAAGTGATTTATTAGTGATTATTTTTTAAACACTCATATTGCAAGATTTATTCCTCCGATGTAGTCATTCTATTCATTGATCCGCTCCAGTCTGGAGTTTTTGTAGGTTCTTTATGTGTCTTGGCACTTTTTTTTTTTTTTTACTTCATTGGCTTTTATCTGTACATGTTTTCATTATTCAACATACATCTAAAAAAGAGTTAATATAAAAGATATTACTCTGTTAAATAGACGCTACTTTTAATAAAAATATAAATTTCTGAACCATGAACACACCTATTTATTCTTGCCAAACGTACAAAATATACAGAAAGGTCCAGGGGGCGCTCTTTAACTTCATTGTGGTTTGGTTCTTCAGAAAAGTCAGAAGACGATTAGGAAATTGGAGAGAATAATTGAGGAAATGGAGGAAAGTATGAAAGAACTATACGAGAGAAGAAAAAAGGATGAACTTCAAGGGAAAAGCAAACTCTGTCTGATCTTATAGCAGTACCATGAGAGTACATTTAACGTCAATCTTTGTGTGCGTTTTATATACATTATTCAATTTTGGCCTTTATTAGTAAGATATTTATGCACACTGTCTGGAATTTGTGTAATTAATAAGAAGAAGGTGCATGTAAGGCCCGAATTAGATTCCAATACTAATAGATGTTGTTTTGATGAGTCCATCCTCGCTAGCCAAATCCGATTTGTATCCGATTTGTATCATATCATTGAACATGTTGAATCCGACAGGATAGCAAAAATCTTATGAATGAAATATGGAGATAACGGTATCCAAGCTCAAAGTCCATTTAAACAATACAAATCGGGAGCAGAGCAAACACGGACCTCCAAAAACATCAGAAGTGGGATCAGGTACCATGGAGGAGTGAGCATAACATACCGATCGGTCACACCTGCCGTGTGCTCCTTGTCATGATCGGGAAAAAACGAAAAAATACGTAGACAATTCAGAGTGCATTGAAATAATGGCCTAACAATAAGTGTGATGGAAAACGTCAATCAGCATTCGATTTATGAAAGGTTGTATTAGCTGAGAAGGTCATTGTTTCGACCATAAAACTTGCGAAATGATGACTTCAAACGCGACTGTTGATATCTTTGTTTCATCAACTTGTTTGTCAATAGCTTGCCTCGTTTTAGAAATTGTTCATACTAAGAGCATGCTCTTGCGTATCGAATCAACTGGGAGACAAAAACCCCATAACCAGGTGAAAAGGGTATGTTGCTACATAAGTAAGGGAAGTTGAATGAAAAATTGAAGTCATCACCTTTGTCATAAGCTTTGTTGTTAGGTTACCATCAAAGTCTTTTTCTTGTAAAATATCCAAATATGAAACAGAAATGTCAGACTCTTTTATTTCAAGCTGAAAAAACAAAATCGATAATCTTAAGATGTTTTCTCTTTATGAGTATGAATTTTCTTTGGCGATGTAGCATTAAAAAGTGGTAACACGTAGCTTAAGGGTTAGTGAAGTTTCTAAATATTTAAGTACATGTACATGTGGTTTATTCAGATAGCTTTTAAGCTTAGGCTTAGCCCATCAAAAAATAAGTAAGACTTTCAATCATGTAATGCTTTTGAATACCATTATAAACATGTGTGGAAGAGAAAATCAAATCAATACTGTATTATATGTACATTAGTTCAACCTGACAATTCAGCATTGTGTGACGTATCATAGGCGTCGCATTCGGCAAACTTCGGCTGATAAGGAGGTACGAATCGGCCGAGGTGTGCCGAGTGATAGGCGTCGGAAGCAAATTGAAAGTGAGGTGGCTAATTGAAAGTGGGGGGGAGGGGGGGGGGGGGCCAAACCAACGGAAAAAGGTAAGTCCCAATTTTCAATGCCTATATTTTGTCTATCTTTGAAGAAATGTGGGGGAGGGGGGCTAAGCCCCCCCCCCCCCGGTTCAGACGCCTAAGCGTAGGATAATATATTCGTATATATAATGATTTATATATAAAAGCATTATATATAAAAGCAGTTAGTTATAAGATAATTGTAGTAGACTTATTTCATTATTTCAGTTAATCGTTAGTTTTACTTTTGTTTCACAGAGTGTATATTTTGAATTGTCCATCTGCCAAATATATACATATATTTGTTGAAAAATTACCATACGCCATAGTTTTGAAATCCTTACCTTAAAAGACCTGAACAAAAATGATATATCCTAAATTCGATGAGAAGACATAAGAATGATTTTTTTCCGTATCTAATTTTTCTTAAAAATTTCAAATTCAGCTAAAACTGGAATACATTTATCTTCCTACTAATTCTAGAATACATTCTTGGAAAATATATTGACTTTATCTGGCTCTTTTTCCTACAAATGGTTGAACACGATGGTCGGATACAATTTTGTTAGACATAAAATCTGTTTTAACTCTATATTAGATACCGTAATATATTTCTGTGCCCATACGCTAGAGAGTTTGAAATTGCCAAACTGCACTGATTCTTATTAATATGAAACCTGGGAAGATAGAGAGGGGGGTCCGGGATACACGGCACATGTGTTAAAAGACGCACAGCGTAATGATACAACGTCATTATATGAAAATATTAACAACAGTGAGGGAGAAACTTCTGGAGTACATCCGGAACACCTCGGGCCTTTCATAGAAAAACAGAAAAAATGTTTTTCTGTGAAAGGCCCGAGGTGTTCTGGAGTGCTGACTGTATGAAGTGGTGTTAATCAAATGTGGATACGTAAAAACTCATCAATAAATGACACCACAGATTCTAACACATCTCTTTCTTATATAGATATTTTACTATAGAAAGATATTGATGGCAAACTAAGAACTAAACTTTATACTTTATGATAAACGTGATGACTTCAACTTTTTTGTCAACTTTCTGGCCTTATTTAACGCTATGTATCAAAATATACAATTATCACCTGCATATGGATTGCATGTCTTTCAGTTGATTCCATATGCAAGAGCATGTATGTACATATTGTACAAACTAACTCTAAAATGAGGAAGCCATTGACATATATCTAAGTTGATGATACAAGGATATCAAGTATCTTGTTTAAAGTCAAAATTTTGATTAGTCTATGGTCAATACATTTTGTTATAATGCTGAATGACATCTTTCAAACAAATTTTTAGGCCATTATGTCCCCAGATCCTTCCATTTACCTGGGTATGACAAGATGCTCACAGCGGGTGTGACTAGTCGACAGCAAAAGTTTACTCCTCCATGGCACCTTATCCCACCTCTAATTTCAGGGGTCCAGGTTGGCTCTGCACACTGTAAACATTGTTAAAATTGTCTTTTCAGCATGATCACTACTTGTTAACTTCACATTTCATAAACATCTCTGATTAGTTAGAATGTTGGCAAATGAGAATCGGCATAGAAAGAGGAAGACAAACCTCCTGAAGGAAACCTTCAGTCTATAATTGGTCAGTAAATCAGTGAATAAAATTTTTGAATTTGTTGACATGTACTGGCAAAAATAAAACTCAGAAATAGATAGTGATTAAAACTTTTAATAAACTTTGTATAAATTTAATATTAATCAATCAATCATGGACAGAAAACATTGTATACATGTACATCTAATATCATAGACATCTTTTTAGAAACAAAATATTTTATCACGTGGCAGAAAACTAACTGCCATGAAAACTTCCTTTTGTAGAAACTTCCTGTAATCCCTCCTCCATGATTCACTATTTAAAAAATTCCTAACCCTGGATTTACTACAAATTTGAATTTTGAAGCAGATTGGTTTCTCTACAGAAAATTTAACAAAAGTACCGAAAATCCCTCAGAAGATTGTCTATAGTGGTTCTCTGTTGGCAGTTCAATTACATGTATAATGCAGAACAGCATCATGTATGGTGCCATTTCGGGGTAAAATGATCAGATGTGTTGTGATTGCTTTATAACAATTGTTGTACATTTACATAAAAACCTGCCAGTTTCATTCTAATGAAATAAAGCAAAAAAAATATTTTTTTAAGGATCTGGACTTTAAAAAAAAGTACAAGAAATACTGTAGAATTGATGATTTTTTTGAAAAGAAATATCTGTATGTACATGTACATACAAGAATAAATGTATGGTATGCAATATATTTTCTCCTTTAGGTGGGAAGCTTTCTTTGACTGAAAATTTTTCTAACTTTTCATAAATATACATGTATTAAATATAGCCTAAAACATTAAAATGGACAAAATATATAATTTAGAAGTCAAAAAAATAAATAAAACACACACACACATATATATATATATATAGAAGTCAAAAAAATAAATAAATTAATTAATAAAACACACACACACACACACATATATATATATAAATTAGGGATGTCAATGATCGAATAGTCCTCTATTCGTCTATCAGTCGAATGGACCAACAATCCAACAACGAAATGACATTCGAATAAATAAATGCAATACAAGTAAAAAAGCGAAAATGAGATGGAATTCTCATCTCAAAATTGGAAAACCATGCATCTTTCCTCAGGCACAGTTGATAAGATAAATAAATTTTCCTCAACCAAAACTGTTGAGTTTCTATGTACATGCAGAGAGTACAGTAATTATAAATGCTTCATATTGCTAGAATTATTTGTCAATTACCATCTGTGTTGTTTTTGTAATAAATTATGCATAACTTTATTGTTTGTAAATTTATTGTTGGGACTTGATCTCATACCAAATACAAATTATATTTTGTTATTTTAAGAATGTTTAAATTCAGGGAACACATTGTAGCCGTGACATGTTTTGATTCTTCGATAATTATTAAAACAATTCGCTTAGGTTGTAAGGACATTTTGATAGCTGGGGCAATCAACAATTGAACAAGCAGTATTTGTTTAACAATATCACAGGTACCTGACATGTGGATATGTTTGTTTAACCTACCCCTACCCCTGAGTGTGTTTCCCGAAAGGCTACTCGCCAAAAACAACAAGTCTACCTGTACACTTTAGAGGGCCCCTTAACTGAGTGTGATAATTAGATGTTGGTTTTGGCGAGTAGCCGTTCAGGGAACAGGGGAATAAGCCACCCCAATTTATTTCAGTGAGCTTTAAAAAATATCGTACTGGCAATTCTTTTTTGGCTTATGCTTACCAAAATAAAAACTGACTTGACAGACCGATTTGCGAAGGAGTAATTAATGATCTAAATTTATTTCATATAAATACACTATCCACAAGTTAGGTGCCAGTGAATATCATTGTGCAGCAATAACATAGGCAAAAAAAAAAAGAAAGATTTTTTATCCCTGATTGCATTGCACATGTTTACATGTGTTCAATAAAGATATAATTTGGGGGAAAAACAACGAAACTATGTAACAAGAGGCCCATGGGCCACATCGCTCACCTGAGCACATTGGCTAGGAAAAAAAGCAAAAATCAGTACAGTATTGAAAAGTTTACAGGGAGGGGGGGGGGGTGTTGAATTTTAAACTACCTGATGATGCTTTCATATCAATATAACAAATGGCTTTGTTGTTCTTGAGCAGCAGATTTTTTTCCCATATATTCATTTGTAAAAATTTGATCCCCCATTGTGGCCCCACCCTACCCCCGGGGGCCCTCATTTGAACAAATTTCATTCTACACTACCCAAAGATGCCTCCATATCAATTTGACTAATCATGGCTTTTCTGTTCTTGAGAAAAAGACTTTTTCCTATATATTCCTCTGTAAACTTTGATCACCTATTGTGACCCCAACCTATCCCTGGGGTAATGATTTGAACAAACTTGAATCTTCACTATCTGAGGATGCTTCCATATAAATATGACCAATCATGGCTTTACTGTTCTTAAGAAGAAGATTTTTAACAATATTTTCCTATATATTTCTATGTAAAACTTTGATCCCCAATTGTGGCCCCACCCTACCCCCGGGGGGTATTATTTGAACAAATTTGAATCTTCACTACCTGAGGATGCTTCCATATAAATATGGCCAATCATGGCTTTACTGTTTTTAAGAAGAAGATTTTAGAGATATTTTCCTACAGTACCAACCAGACCCAACCTGACACAAAGCAGTCCCAGAGCAGTCCCGGGGACTGCTTTCTGGGACTGCTAAAGCAGTCCCAGAGCGGTCCCAGAGCAGTCCCAGAGCGGTCCCAGAGCAGTCCCACAGCGGTCCCAGCAGTCCCAGCGGTCCCAGAAAGCAGTCCCAGCAGTCCCAGAAAGCAGTCCCAGCAGTCCCAGTGGGCGGGGTTAATTAATTTAATGGGCGGAGCTTACTCAGAATGAGATTACCAATAAACAATGTAACTATATAAAAGGCAGTTGAAATTGATGAGCAATTCTTTCTGAGTAGTGTTAACAAATATTTACAATTCTTACGCGACAGTCATTTCTGAACTGTTAAGAAAATCACAGTACGAGTATAGAAACAAATTATAATTATTGAATGAAGAAGACGTTCACACATATTAATAACATGCATATTTAAACACAATTATTTGGTATATTAATTTTTAACCAAAATAAAACCAATTTCTTTATTTTTTGTGATTGATATTGGTTTTCATATTTATTTTTTTATATAGAAAATTAAACTTGAATTGTTTATTTTATACCAGAATTAGCTTTAAATACTATTAGATAATAATAATTATAGAGCAAGGCCGATTCCCATACTATACTCTGAATGCATTTTTCTTAAGTATTGGAGCTTTTGAAAAATTCATTGTTAAACATTGCCGAGTATTGTATTTCAGTCATGATTATTTTCAATGACTTCCCAATTTAATTATCTTTAGATTCTCAGTTTTAAGTGTTTTGTTATATAAATGTTCGAGTGTACATCTGTAAATCACGCAAATGGAACCCTCAGAGTATGTTCAAAATTAATTAATCCCGAAATAAATTTATACACAATTATTGAAACTAAGATTTTTTGCAGGACATAGATTGAAATTAGTGTCAATGTTGACCAGGGTGTTCAATGATGTGTAACACTGATACCCAAATAACATGCATTGACTTTCTGCTAATGCCCAAAGGCGATTGAAACCTCAGGTGTTGACACCATTTTATACAATCCAGCTGTATTACCGGCCAGGTAAACACAAACAAAGAAATAAGAAACAAGTCACAATTCCCGATATTTTCAAATGTTTAGTTTTTAAATAAATGTACTCTTTTAATAACTTATTTATAAATTAAAAACTAATTCATAAATAAATCCCCGAATAATTGTTCACATTGTTTATGTGACAGAAGAAGGTAGAATAATTTTATTTCATGGTCATTAAATAAATTATTAGGTTTTATTTGAGGGTGGTAAAAAATAGCATGGAGTGCTCTTTTTTAAGCATGGTATTAGCTTTTTCCATTAAGAAAAAAAAAATCCAGTACAGTACGTTCCTCTGAATACATGTATCTTACTGAAATGACAAGTTTGTTTGTTTTTAAATAGTGCTAATGCAAACTTTGAGTACATATATAATTTGAAAGCATTAATTTATTAAATAGGCCTAGATAATTTTTTTTTCCAAACACCTGTATTGAAGTTTAATTTAAGGGATAAAAATCATCCCCTAACTTCCCTTTTTAACTACTTTGATTTTCTTAAAATTAATTCTAGACTACAATTGTGTAAATTTACAGCCCTCTTAAGACATTTAGTAATTACATGTATAACTATCTCTATTTATTTAATTTTTGTAAGAAATTAATACTTGTTTTTTTTATATTTGTTTCTATCTTAAACACCTCTCTGCAGAATGTAAACAAAACAACAACAAGGAGCTGCAAATTCAGAATACACAAGGGGCGGAGCTATCATGTCACTCAGAACCTTTTCCACGCATGAGTGAACAAAGCAGTCCCAGAAAGCAGTCCCAGGGACTGCTGGGACTGCTGGGTCTGCTTTCTAGAGCAGTCCCACAGCAGTCCCAGAGCAGTCCCATAGCAGTCCCACAGCGGTCCCAGAGCAGTCCCACAGCGGTCCCAAAGCAGTCCCGGGGACTGCTTTCTGGGACTGCTTTGGTATCAGGTTGGGTCTGGTTGGTACTGTATATATTTCTATGTAAAACTTGGATCCCTCATTGTGGCCCCACCCTACCCCTGGGGGTTATGATTTGAACAAATTTGAATCTTCACTACCTGAGGATGCTTCCATATAAAAATGACCAATCATGGCTTTACTGTTTTTAAGAAGAAGATTTTAGAGATATTTTCCTATATATTTCTATGTAAAACTTGGATCCCTCATAGTGGCCCCACCCTACCCCTGGGGGTTATGATTTGAACAAATTTGAATATTCACTACCTGAGGATGCTTCCATATAAATATGACCAATCATGGCTTTACTGTTTTTAAGAAGAAGATTTTTAAAGATATTTTCCTATATATTTCTATGTAAAACTTTGATCCCCCATTGTGGCCCCACCCTACCCCCGGGGGTCATGATTTGAACAAACTTGAATCTTCACTACCTGAGGATGCTTCCATATAAATATGACCAATCATGGCTTTGCTGTTCTTAAGAAGAAGATTTTTAAAGATATTTTCCTATATATATCTATGTAAAACTTTGATCCCCCATTTTGGCCCCACCCTACCCTCGGAGGTCATGATTTGAACAAACTTGAATCTACACTACCTGAGGATGCTTCCATATAAATATGACCAATCATGCCTTTGCTGTTCTTAAGAAGAAGATTTTTAAAGATATTTTCCTATATATATCTATGTAAAACTTTGATCACCCATTGTGGCCCAACCCTACCCCCGGTGGTCATGATTTGAACAAACTTGAATCTTCACTACCTGAGGTTGCTTCCATAAAAATTTGACCAATCATGGCTTTGCTGTTCTTAAGAAGATTTTTAAAGATATTTTCCTATATATTTCTATGTAAAACTTGGATCCCCCATTGTGGCCCCACCCTACCCCCGGGGGTCATGATTTGAACAAACTTGAATCTACACTACCTGAGGATGCTTCCATATAAATATGACCAATCTTGGCTTTACTGTTCTTAAGAAGAAGATTTTTAAAGATATTTTCCTATATATTTCTATGTAAAACTTGGATCCCCCATTGTGGCCCCACCCTACCCCCGGGGGTCATGATTTGAACAAACTTGAATCTACACTACCTGAGAATGTTTCCACATAAGTTTCATCTTTCCTGGCCCAGTGGTTCTTGAGAAGAAGATTTTTAAATGATGCCATTATTTTTTCACTAATTCCTAATTATCTCCCCTTGAAAGAGGGCGTGGCCCTTCATTTGAAAAAACTTGAATCCCCTTTACCCAAGGATGCTTTGTGGCAAGTTTGGTTGAATTTGGCCCAGTGGTTCTTGAGAAGAAGATGAAAATGTGAAAAGTTTACGACGACGCCAACGACGACAACGACGATGACAGACAACGGACAAATTTTGATCAGAAAAGCTCACTTGAGCCTTTGGCTCAGGTGAGCTAAAAATCAGGAATTTTTCTTCATGTGTAGAAGTTCTTCTTTACTATGCCCCTCTGGAATGTCAAAGTCAAACACAACAGGTGAGTTGGTGGGTTTGTATCTTCTAGTACAGGTCGAAGCATTGATAAAGGTCGTGAACCCATCTGAGGTCACCCCATAACCTACAAAAAGTTCAACATGTCATTATATACAGCTGCCTTTATTAGATAACATTATATATGCAAGTTTTTTGCATATTTGTTTAAAATAAGCAAACTATTTTCTCATGTCTTATACAAGGGTTATTTGTACAATTTAGAGTCTCTAAATCCATCTCATTTTCATGGATAAAAACAGTACAAAATAACAGGTCAGTTAGGACTGTACAATATAGGTGGCAGCCTGTAGCCACCAGTCAATCAGAACAAAAAAGATGTTACACTTCAAAATGAAGAAATATTAAAATAATGTATCAGTATTCAGCAAATTCTGTTCCAATCTATGCTACTAGAATCTCTTACTTTCATGAATGTGTCCAAACACATGGTACTTTGGTTTGACTCGTTTCTGTACTGTATTAAGGAGTTCTACACAGCCTACGTTATTGTTTCCACCGGTCAGATCCCCATGTCCTGTTAGAAATATTACATCTACATGTATATCATTTAATCATGGAGTCCAGCTAGGTCAGTAAATATCCATACCACAGGATAAGAAAATACATGTACAATGTGTGTACATGTACAATATTTATAATGTGTAGCACACGTGATACAGTTTACCTATATGCAATTAGACAAAAATGTGTAACTAATATACATACTATATAAAAAATATGTTTCAATATTTTTGGGGATGCCATTCTATGAATTCAGCTTTAGGGGGTCTAGCATATCCTGTCAATTTGACTGAAGGCCAGCTAAAAAAAAGTTTCCATTCACTTTACATAATTTAACTATCTGTCAGTCAGTATCTTACCACAAGGAGGGGTATGGGACATTAATATATCAGTATCTTCTGGTATTTTGTCCCAACATTTCTTTAATTCTTGTCCCCTACGCCACTGAAAAGCCATTCTCTTGAAGTGCTTTGGTGACCTACATGTACATGGACACATTTGTTTTTTTCTTTTAAAATTGATATAAATTGTACATAATAAAGCAATTTGTGTTCAAACCCATTTGGTTATAAACTTTAAGTGTAGGTTGCAAAAATTAAATCTTGCTAAGCATGTATTGCACCTTGAGGAAAATTTTCAATACCCCCCCCCCCAAAAAAAAAAAAAAAACATCTACATGTACTTCTGAATCAATTTCATATGTTGAAATTTTGTTAGTATGTTTGCATATTGTAATTGACTCATCACCCAGTCACAATGCTGTCTACTTTCTGATATTTCACTGATAAGAGAAAATATGTTTTTTTACCAGTATTGTACATATTTAATACAGGTACTACAAGTATATGAAGCAGTTTGTTTGCTGAAAAAAAATATATTTATGCCTGCATTAAATACGGGCAGAGGGGAATTCTACACGATCAGCAAGCACAAATATAGCACTTCAAGAGGACAGCTTTTACATTTTTCAATTCATTTAAAAAAATAATGAACTTATATACAGACATAGTTATAAAGGGCTCTTACCAACTGGGGGTCCATGTGTTATGAGGATATCAGTGTCAGTTGGAATTTTCTGCCATTTCTCTAATAATTCTTCCCCTCTTTCCACATTGAAACCCCAGTTACAAAAAATAGGTTGCCTGCAATGAATTTCTTCTTTTGTCAATCTGAGATACATGTATTAGCTAGCAATTAACATAAAAAATGAATGGTGTAAATGTGTGCTTGCTGACTGTATAAAATTCTTCACATTTTAATTTGAACTCACTAAAGCTTAATGGCCTGTATGATCTTCTTAAAGACTTTATATAAGTTTTCCTAGTATTCGTTTTTTTAATAAAAGTAAATAAATAAATAAATAGATGTATATGATAAAAAAAAATGACTTGAAGACTTACCAAGGTGCACCATAAAGCTTGATCCCACATATACTGACTGAGGAATCTAGGAGATATACTGCATTTGTTAACATTTCCTTTACAGATTTAAGTCCCCTGGATTTAAGGTATGACTCAATCTCAGAATGCTGAAGTCCAAAAGATCGCAAAGTTGAATCACTGAGTTCCTCATCCAAGGTTAAATCATGGTTTCCAGCAACAAGAATCTTAAGCTTGTATGGCAGAAAACCTGGTATAGAATAGCAATCACGGTATTAATTACTATAATTTCTAGGGCTGGGTATCGGCTGGAAATTGTGTATTGCAATATATTGCGATATTTTAATCTGTATTGCGATATGTATTGCAATATTTTCAATAACAGTTAAAATGCTTTTTTAAACCTCCTTTTATAAGCAGAATGCATGTAACTATTATAAAATATGTTGTCAGAAGAAAGTTCTCGATGATTTCACTACAGTTTTGCAACAAAATGTGACCATACAACAACGACCTTACCGTTTGGCACGATTGAAAAAGTTTCTGACATATTAAATTTTACATTTTACTTTAGAAATCTAAACCCAAGCATTTTGCTGGTATATCTGTACTAAAAAAAACGATATTTTTTGCTAAAGAATCGCAATATACCGGAATATCGATATTCTTGTGCAGCCCTAATAATTTTAGACAATATTTATTAAACCTATATCAAATTAAATTACATGTAATACATCCAATGGTATCATTAAAATGACTTCATAATAATTGTAATTATATTTAAGTACTTCAATGCATCTTTTGTCTTTATAAAATATTCATCTTTAAAACAACAAAAAAACTTAGAAATGGATTAATATTCATAAAGTACAATTTTATGAAATTGGAAGTCTTCCCCTAAATTAAGATTAAATTTATTTAGTAGTTCTGCTAAAACTTATTCATAAGACTCATCTGGTTTCAGAAAAAACTAGAAATATGTCCATAGGACATGAATGCCCCGCCGAAGGTATATAAGTAATGCAACATTAAAATTTGTATAAGTATATGAAATTTGATGAGAATATCTTGAATTGTTTCTTTAAAATTGAAATTGAAATTTAAAAAGTTGGATATAGATGATAAATTCTCACCAAATTATGTATAAGTGCATAAGCTTACATAAATATATCTTGAATGGTTTCTTTAAAATTATGCAAAATGCAAATTTAAGAAAAGTGAGGACAAGGTCACAGGAAAGTTCAAGGTCAAACATTTTTTATGTAGTTGAATAGTTCTCACAAATACATATCAGCATATTAAGTTTGATAAAAATATTTTGAATGGTTTATTTAAAAACTAAGCTAAACACTAATTTAAAATAGATGAAGTTAAGGTTAAAGGAAAGGTCAAGGTCAAAAAATGTTGAAGCAGTTGAATTGCTTACATCAGTATGTATCAACATATGAAGTTTGATTACACTATCTTGAATGGTATCTTTAAAACTGAGCTAAACACTAATTTAAGAAAAGTGAGGTCAGGGTCAAAGGAAGGGTCAAGGTAAAAAAATATTGATGCAGTTGAATAGCTTATATCAGTATGTATTAGCATATGAAGTTTGACACTAATTTAAGAAAAGTGAGGTCAAGGAAAGGTCAAGGCCAAAAAATGTTGATGCAGTTGAATAGCTTAATTAGTATGTATCAGCATATGAAGTTTGATAACACTATATTGAATGATATCTTTAAAACTGAGCTAAACACTAATTTAAGAAAAGTGAGGTCAAGGTCAAAGGAAGGGTCAAGGTAAAAAAATATTGATGCAGTTGAATAGCTTACATCAGTATGTATCAGCATATGAAGTTTGACACTAATTTAAGAAAAGTGAGGTCAAGGAAAGGTCAAGGCCAAAAAATGTTGATGCAGTTGAATAGCTTAATTAGTATGTATCAGCATACAGTGTATGAAGTTTGATAACACTATATTGAATGATATCTTTAAAACTGAGCTAAACACTAATTTAAGAAAAGTGAGGTCAAGGTCAAAGGAAGGGTCAAGGTAAAAAAATATTGATGCAGTTGAATAGCTTACATCAGTATGTATCAGCATATGAAGTTTGACACTAATTTAAGAAAAGTGAGGTCAAGGAAAGGTCAAGGCCAAAAAATGTTGATGCAGTTGAATAGCTTAATTAGTATGTATCAGCATATGAAGTTTGATAACACTATATTGAATGATATCTTTAAAACTGAGCTAAACAATAATTTAAGAAAAGTGAGGTCAAGGTCAAAGGAAAGGTCAAGGTAAAAAAATATTGATGCAGTTGAATAGCTCTTATCAGTATGTATCAGCATATGAAGTTTGATAACACTATATTGAATGGTTTCTTTAAAACTGAGCTAAACACTAATTTAAGAAAAGTGAGGTCAAGGTCAAAGGAAAGGTCAAGGTAAAAAAATATTGATGCAGTTGAATAGCTCTCATCAGTATGTATCAGCTTATGAAGTTTGATTACACTATATTGAATGGTACATGTATCTTTAAAACTGAGCTAAACACTAATTTAAAAAAGAGGCCCAAAGGCCTTAACGGTCACCTGAGTACAACAATTTAGAGGATCCATAATCTGATAAATGAAGCTTTGTTGTCCAAAATCAAGAAAAATAGTATGATTAAGATCAACAAAATAATTGGTCTAGTATCTATCTATTTTTCCCCCATTCATCCATTCATCATTATTACCATGCTGACTTTTAACAAAATACCTATTTTTAACCCCACATTATAACCTCTCACATTGGCCTCACTTGGCCTAATTGAAGAACATTTAAAAATATAAGTTATTTTTGTTTCATTTTTTTTTTTCATGTATTATTTCCAAGTCTACCTGATCATTAAAACTATGAAAGTACTTTTTGTATTATATAATTAATGTTCTTCCATAATTCTCTTATTCTATTAACCTTTCAAATACATTATCTACAGTGATTAATTATCAAAGGTGAATGGCAAAGGGGAATAACTTCACTCAGTAGAATACAAATCAATACAGCCCTGGCCAGGACCAGAACACTTGACCAAATGGTCCAGATGTTTAAAATTCTGGTAAAAAATACCCTTGTTTATTAAAACTTTTACTCTGTTTGCCTCCAATATGCCCAGGAGCAGAGAAGATTTTCAAAGAAATAATGCATTTTCACTATTTAACACAGCCCTACCCTAACACCAGAACCCATGACCCAGGGTCATGAAATTTACAAATTTGGAAGAGGTACCCTCATCATCATAACTATGCAATTAGTTGAACATTTTCAAAGAATTCACACATTTTCACTATATTATCAATAGAGCCCCCCCCCCCTTTTCAGAGAAACAACAGAACCCCTAGGTCCACAAGTTTTAAAAAAATTGTAAAAGCATCCTTGCTCATCATAACTGTACACTTGTTTCTTTGCTTTATAACCAGGAGTAGAAAAAAAATATTGTGAAAGAAATTATGAATTTTCACTTTATAATCAGTAGAGCCCCCCCCCCCTTTTTTTTTTACCAGAACCCCTGACCCTGGGGCCATGAATTTCACAATTTTGGAAGAGGCATTCTTGCTTATCATAACCATGCACTTCCTTTGTTTAAATAATACCCAGGAGCAGAGAAGATTTTCAAAGAATTGATGCATTTTCACTATATTATCAATAGAGCCCCACCCTAACACCAGAACCGCTGATCCAGGGGCCATGAAAGTTTCTGAAGAGGCACTCTTGCTCATCATAACTATGTTCTTAGTTAGTTTCTTTAATACCCATGACCAGAAGAGAAGATTTTCAAAGAAATAATGCATTTTCACTATAAAATCAGTTGAGCCCTCCCCCCTTTTCACCAGAACCCCTGACCCAGGGGCCATGAAATTCACAATTTCTGAAGAGGCACTCTTGCTCATCATAACTATGTACTTGGTTACTTTATTTAATACCCAGGACCAGAGAAGAAGACTTTAAAAGAATTAATACATTTTCACTATATCATCAATAGGGCCCCGCCATAACACCAGAACCCCTGACCCTGGGGCCATGAAATTCACAATTTTGGAAGAGGCACTCTTGCTCATCATAACTATGTACTTAGTTAGTTTATTTAATACCCAAGAGCAGAGAAGAAGATTTTCAAAGTTTTAATGCATTTTCACTATATAATCAATAAAGCCCCACCCTAACACCAGAACCCCTGACCCTGGGGTCATAAAATTCACAATTTTGGAAGAGACTCTTTTGCTCATCATAACACTGTTCTTGGTTACTTTATTTAATACCCAGGACCAGAGAAGAAGACTTTAAAAGAATTAATACATTTTCACTATATCATCCTATATCCCCGCCCTAACTCCAGAACCCCTGACCCTGGGGCCATGAAATTCATAATTTTGGAAGAGGCACTCTTGCTCATCATAACTATGTACTTAGTTAATTTATTTAATACCCAAGAGCAGAGAAGAAGATTTTCAAAGTTTTAATGCATTTTCACTATATAATCAACAAGAGGCCCATGGGCCACATCGCTCACCTGAGCACATTGGCTAGGCAAAAGCAGAAATCAGTTCAGTATTGAAAAGATTACCTGTGGGGTGGGGGCTTGAATTTTAAATTACCTGATGATGCTTCCATGTCAATATAACAAATGGCTTTATTGTACTTGAGAATTCAAAGATTTTAAAAAAAAATTTCCCATATATTCCTTTGTAAAAATTTGATCCTCCATTGTGGCTCCTCCCTATCCCAGGGGTCATCATTTGAACTTGAATCTACTCTACCTGAGGATGCTTCCATATCAATATGACTAAACATAGCTTTCCTGTTCTTGAGAAGAAATATTTTTTCTATATGTTCTTATGTAAAACTTTCAATCCCCCAATGGGCCCCATCCAACCCCTGGGGGTCATCATTTGAACAAAATTGAATCTACACTACCTGAGGATGCTTCCATATCAAAATGACTAATCATGGTTTGCAGTTCTTCAGAAGATATTTTCCTGTATATTTCTATTTAAGACTTTGATCCTCCATTGTGGCCCCATCCTACCCACGGGGGTCATGATTTGAACAAAATAGAATCTACACTACCTGAGGAAGCTTCCATATAAATATGATCGATCAGGGCTTTGCTGTTCTTGAGAAGAAGATTTTTAAAATTTTTCCTATACATTTCTATGTAAAACTTTGATCCTCCATTGTGGCCCTGCCCTACCCCCGGGGGTCATGATTTGAATAAATTTGAATCTACACTACCTGAGGATGCTTCCATATAAATATGAACAATCTGGGCTTTGCTGTTCCTGAGAAGAAGATTTTTCCTATATATTTCTATGTACAACTTTGATAGTCCATTGCGGCCCTGCCCTACCCCCGGTGGTCATGATTTGAACAAACTTGAATCTACACTACCTGAGGATGCTTCCATATAAATATCACTCATCATGGCTTTGCTGTTCTTGAGAAGAAGATTTTTAAAGATTTTTCCTATATATATATTTCTATACAAAACTTTGATCCTCCATTGTGGCCACGCCCTACCCCCGGGGGTCATGATTTGAACACACTTGAATCTACACTACCTGAGGATGCTTCCATATAAATATGATTCATCATGACTTTGTTGTTCTTGAGAAGAAGATTTTTAAAGATTTTTCCTATATATATATTTATATACAAAAATTTGATCCTCCATTGTGGCCACGCCCTACCCCCGGGGGTCATGATTTGAACACACTTGAATCTACACTATCTGAGGATGCTTCCATATAAATATGACTCATCATGACTTTGTTGTTCTTGAGAAGAAGATTTTTAAAGATTTTTTCCTATATATTTCTATGTAAAACTTTGATCCTCCGTTGTGGCCACACCCTACCCCCAGGGGTCATGGTTTGAACAAACTTGAATCTACACTATCTGAGGATGCTTCCATATAAATATGACTCATCATGGTTTTGTTGTTCTTGAGAAGAAGATTTTTAAAGATTCTTCCTATATATTTCTATGTAAAACTTTGATCCTCCATTCTGGCCTCGCCCTACCCCCCGGGGTCATGATTTGAACAAACTTGAATCTACACTACCTGAGGATGCTTCCACATGACTTTCATCTTTCCTGGCCCTATGGTTCTTGAGAAGAAGATTTTTAAATGTTGCCATTATTTTTTCACTAATTCCTAATTATCTCCCCTTGAAAGAGGGCGTGGCCCTTCATTTGAACAAACTTGAATCCCCTTTACCCAAGGATACTTTGTGGCAAGTTTGGTTGAAATTGGCCCAGTGGTTCTTGAGAAGAAGTCGAAAATGTGAAAAGTTTACAGACAGACAGACAGACAGACAGACGGACAGACAGACGGACGCCGGACAAAATGTGATCAGAAAAGCTCACTTGAGCTTTCAGCTCAGGTGAGCTAATAAAGCCCCACCCTAACACCAGAACCCCTGACCCTGGGGTCATGAAATTCACAATTTTGGAAGAGGCACTCTTGCTCATCATAACTATGTTCTTAGTTAGTTTATTTAATACCCAGGAGCAGAGAAGAAGATTTTCACAGATTTAATGCATTTTCACTATATAATCACTAGAGCCTCGCCATAACACCAGAACCCCTGCCCCTGGGGCCATGAAATTCACAATTTTGGAAAAGGCACTCTTGCTTATCATAACTATGTACTTAATTAGTTTGTTTAACACCCAGGAGCAGAGAAGAAGATTTTTAAAGATTTAATGCATTTTCACTATATAATCAATAGAGCCCCACCCTAGCCCCAGAACCCCTGACCCTGGGGCCATGAAATTCACAATTTTGGAAGAGGCACTCTTGCTCATCATAACTATGTACTTAGTTAGTTTATTTCATATGCAGGAACAGAGAAGAGGATTTTCAAAGATTTAATGCATTTTCACTATATAATCAACAGAGCCCCACTCTAACACCAGAACCCCTGACCCTTGGGCCATGAAATTCACAATTTTGGAAGAGACACTCTTGCTCATCATAACTATGTACTTAGTTAGTTTATTTCTTACCCAGGAGCAGAGAAGAAGATTTTCAAAGAATTAATGCATTTTCACTATATAATCAATAGAGCCCCACCCTAACACCAGAACCCCTGACCCAGGGGCCATCAAATTCACAATTTTAGAAGAGGTATTCTTGCTTATCATAACTATGTACTTAGTTAGTTTATTCAATACCCAGGAGCAGAGAAGATTTTCAAAGAAATAATGCACTTTACTATAAGATCTATATAGCCCCACCCTAGCCCCAGAACCCCTGACCCTGGGGCCATGAATTTCATAATTTTGGTAGAGGGCTCAATGCTTATTACAATCATGCCAACAGTTTGACTGCTTGATGTCCAGGAGTAAAGAAGAAGATTTTTAAAGATTGCATTAATTTTAGTGGTTTTTGCCCCACCTCTCAGGCCCCAGGGGGGCAGGAACCATGAAATTCACAAATTTTGTCCCCCTTTACCCATAGATGCTATATGCCAAATTTGGTTGAAATTGGTTGAGCATTTCAGAGAAGAAGCTGAAAATGTTAAAATGTTAACGCACGACAACAGACAAAAACGGATAGCAATAGGTCACCTGAGTTTCACTAAAAAAGTGAAGTCAAGGTTAAAGGAAAGGTCAAGGTCAAAAAATGTTGATGCAGTTGCATAGCTCTCATCAATATCTATCAGCATATGAAGTTTCTTTGAAACTGAGCTTTGAACAGAGCTAAACGCAAAGCATGACGGAATGACAGATGGAAGGATGGAAGACGGACATGACAAACACTATATGCCCCAGCCATATTCATGGCGGGGCATACGCAGCTATGTTAAGGCTTCCCAAAGCTTTAAAATGCGCTCAAAACATAATATGTCATTGCGAGGTCGGTTTTGGTTTTAATTTATAAGTATTGAACTTTAGTACATGTACTTCCAATTTATATAAAGGGTTTCCCCGGTTATATATTAGCATATTTGTTATGATATCACATGACTTTGTTGATCACGTGACGGTCATTTATAATTTTTTGAAGTGTTTCATATAAATCGCTTCGGCGCAGCTGATTAACACAATAATTATTAACATTTTGTTATATAAATAAACTCATCGTATCCTTGTGTATCCGAAATGTGCTTGGGAAAAGTCATAGTATTACTTGGGTACAAAATATTTCCTGAGAAATTCTACTTACCTACAAATTTGAGGGTATTTTCCACACAATATCGTAATCTGTATTAAAACAAAGCCAACACACATTTTTCCCAAGCAAGATTCAGTTAGAGAACAACCTCTTCTTACAGATTTCCACAAAAATTATCAGATTAATCCTCATTAATCACCTGCGCCAGACTCTTTCATACACACAAAATAAATTCTACCTCCAACCACGGGTATAAAACAGAGTACATTTCAAAAGTATATTTTTCATAATCATTTTGAACATGATGAATTTCAATCAAGGCTAGGTAAGCGGTGTATTTTTAAAATATTCGGACATATAAGACTTAAAAAACCTTTAACGACCCGTGAATTTTGCAATAGCTATCTAGCATTTTACATGCAGTTTGAAATAAAGTGTGAAGTTCATGACACTCTCCCCGTCATAACACCTCAAGTTTGCAGTGACCTGACGTCATTTTCCATTATGACGTCATATTTTGGTAGTTCAGAGATGTGAAGGCACAGAGTGCACTGTCATATTCTACGGGAAGCCTTAACCTACCTGCGTAAAAATTATCTCTCTTTTTTTCCAAAATGATAAACATATTTAAATACCTAAGTATGAGTTGAATTTCTCAATTTCTGTTAGCTGTCCTTTCATTGTAAAGTCTCCAGCATGAAGAAGCACATCTCCGGGAGGCATACGTAATCCTGACCTCTCAATCTTTCCATGGGTGTCAGAGATGCAGACAAATCGAATCTTGTCAGGTGTGACAAGGGTAATGGGGTCTGGCAGGGGACATCTGATGTGCTGCTGGTGGATTCTGATTCTCTCCCAGGCCTTTGATGGATTTGCAGTGTCTTTATCTACCTTAATTTCTTCAGCGCCTGACATCATCTAGATTCCTATACATATACATGTATAAAGTTTAAAATCGGAAGATATCCATTATCATTATTGAAAAAATAAACTAGACCTGTCCAAAATAGACCCCCCCCTTTTACATAAACATTAAATGTTGTCATTGCTTCATGGCCATGCAGCCTTTATCGAGAAAAGATACATGAATGTTAACAAGAATTTGAAGTTTATATTATACACCTATTTACTGGCTATGAGGACAATAGCAAGTTTATCGTTCCCCAAGACAGCAACTATTTCCCGAGGCGCAGCCGAGGGAAATAGTTGCTGTCGAGGGGAACGATAAACTTGCTATTGTCCTCATAGCCAGTAAATAAGTGTTTTATTATACCGAAGCAGTCTTTACTTGTGTTACGTCACAATCTGTATAAAACCAGAAGAGTTCCGTGATGAAAAGCGAGGGAAGCAGAATGCTCCCGGTGAATAGTTTAATGACTATTTCACCATGGGCAAATAGCACAAAAACTATTCCACGGTAGGGGCTGTTTGGAAAAAATAGCATGTTTATTCGTAATATTTTTATATAGAAAAAATTCACAGAGGTATAATAAATATATATATTTACTTTAAATGTACGTACTGATACTGGTCTCGTTACATGACTACTTGCACAACTTTCCGATCTAAATAAAAAGGGACATACTAAAACAAGTCCCACGGGGAAAATAAGTCCCACATGAGTCCCACAGAAAAATAATAAGTCCCACCAGGAAATATGATATTTTAGTAATGTTTAAGAATATCTTTATAGATTATCATTCTTTAAATATATCTTGAATAAAAAAAGGCTGCTTCGTCTGAGTAAGGGAAGTTGTTACCTATTCATAAAAAATTTCCTTGTTCCATCTGGTTTTCCAAGTCTCTTTACCAAGTCAAAGCAGAGACATGAAAGCTTGTTATTTGTGTCTCTGGTCTCGTCTTGTTTTTGTTTACTTGTTACTGTGATGGTCGATCGGACATTTTATTTCCGGATTAACCATATTTTGACACTGAAAAAATCCCAACAAAAGCAAACATTGAAACCTGACAAATTAAACTTTTTTGGTTTTCTTTGCCATAATCCATTTTGCCATAATCATAAATATTTTCCAAATCGGTTTCTTCAATTATATATTTATTTCTTGGTTATAAAAGTAAAAAATGGCGGTTTTCAGTAAAATAAGTAAAGCAGACCAAGACGTGATCATGAACTCTTTTTATTGGGACTCGGTCCTAAATACGGCATATTATCAATTCCCAGATGTGCCAAAACTTCCAACTGGAAAAGCAGCTCATGCTGAGCTGGAGCATATAGACAAAAACCTATACAAACCAAATGCAAAAATGGTGTCCTTCAGGGTACAAGACAAAAACCGTTTGATGAAGTGGTTAAAATGTTTAGCTTACAGATATCACTATCAGTTTGGTAAAAGAAAGGAATTCAAATGTGAATGGATTGATAGATTGAAGGATGGAAGTGAGGAATTAATAGACGAAGTTCTAGTTAAATTGTGCGTTGTCTGTCGATATAGAAGGCGAGGAGATGGAAAAAATCATTACTATCAATGCATATTTTTCTACCCACTGTTCAGGGAAACAACTACCTTCATTGGGTAGATGACGAATTTCCACACTCAAAATCTGTTGTGGAAAATATGTCCTCACAAGACAACTCTGAGACAAAAGTGAAAAACCTACTTGACGTGTCAGCTGAATATGATGAATTCCAGTCATTTCTTAGTAGTAATAAGAAAACGTTTCCAACTCCAAGAATCATCTCTCCAAACACAGTCGCCTCACCAAATAATATGCAAACCATAGAATCAGGTATTTGTTCAAGGTTTAGCACCTTTGACAGAACCTGTACGAAATGTTCCGCCTGGAATATAGGGGGAATAGAGGCGTACTTGGAGAAGGGATTCCGGGCATCAGTTTGTCTCACTACATATATGGTGATATACAGGTTCCGGGCGTAACCCAAGAGGAAACCAAGAGGAATACGCGACTTCCGAGATACGTTTCCGACCCGATTTTTACATCACGCAAAAGTGAAATGTAGGGCATGTTTACTTCCGTTTTCATCGTAAACGATGGCGTCATTAGATACAGACTGCGATTACGACTATAATTTCAATTCTTGGCAAGTGCCTATGCTGAAAGACCTTTTATCCTTTAAAGGAATAGCTTTTTCAATATATTAAAATCATCATTTGATAAGACTTTGTGAACTGGGAGTTGAAATTCAGAAGTGGCAGATGATTAGGCCTACAGGGTGGTGATGTCAAACTGTTGGAGATAAAGTTTTCCGAAATATAACAAGTGTTGATAGGTGGTCTGAAGATCTCATAAAACTGCCGAACATTGAGATTTCCGATGTTTTCATAAAACTTTTGAACGATGGCTGGAGTACGTTATTCTCGGTTGAAAACAGAGACAAGACAATGGATACAGACTAAAACAACCACGTTGATAAAGTGAAAGTGTCCCCCCTGTCTGATGATTTTCAGTACATCAAGTGTGACACAGTTCCTGAGACTAGCCAGATGCAGATCCGTACAAGACCTGGATATTTGTTGAGGGCAATGAACAGATTCACTCAGGTGGATGTAGTGTAAATATTCTGGTTTTCACATTATGACTACAGATTCTCCAGTAGAATTTAAAGCAATAATTATCAAAAATGTTATTTCTTAAAGATATACTAATGCTTTTTGTTCATAAAAAAACATACACAGAGGGAGCCCTGTCTCAGCCTACAAGCATTTATGATTATGTAAATTGCTCAATACACTATTCATGTCATGGAATTTCATATTCAATACTTCATCACTTTGAACAAAAGTTCTCTTGATTTTAGAGATGATGGGTCGTGTAAGCACTGTACAGCTTCGATATTTGCTGTGGCTTCATTCTGTGAGAGGCACAAAGACTGTCACACTCAAGTCGGAACAGATATTCCATGTGTTTGGGACAATTTTTTAAGCCTCGTGTCATCTCATCTTGTATTGGCCAATTACATAAAACTACAGGACTATACAGGAGAAGAACCTGAAGTTAGCGCTCACCATTCAATAAACAACCCATGCAAGTCCTTGAACAACAACTCTATTAAAGAAATTGAAGAAAAAAAATTGTTTCAACTCCTGTGTTTTTACACAAAATGTGGATTTTTCTGTGAGCAAATACATTATGATCCTTTGAAATTTGAGGAAATAGTACAAAAATGTGAATATCTCTTTGACAAACATTTGAAAGTTGCAATTATGTCTCTCTAAGTATAGCAGAGCAACAAATTTGTAAATGAGATAAGCATGTAATGCATAATAATTTATGGCATTCTTGATTATAACAGTGAGGAAAAACTTAAAACACTTTTGGTCTAAGGTACAGGATTCATTAATATTCATAATTTATTGATGGCAGAATACCTGAACTGATAAATATAAATTAGGAACAAACAATAAAATATTTCAATCATCATGATCATATGATTAAATTCTTTCATAAATAAATACAATATTTACATTACAGTTTGTATCAGACCTGGGGTAATGGTAATGCATTGTAATCATTACATTTTTTCAAAGTAATTGGATGTAATGTGTAATGGACTCATCTTTCAATTACAATTGTAATGTTTATGCATTAATTTAAAAAAAAATGTCAGTAATGACCATTGCCTTTCAATTACATTTTGGTTTTAAATCTCTCTTCATTATTGAATCTGAAACAAATAAAGGTCACTGAGAGGTTATTTTTTTTTATTTATAATGTTAAAGTCTTAAAATTAAAATCCTATATCTTACTTTAAAAAAAAAAAATGTTTATTCAGTGGTGATTGACAGACATACTACATGTAAATAATTGTTTTAATGGAAAACTTCTTGACAAGACAGTTATAAAATCAATTGAAGAAAGCCAGAATTGTTTTGAAAAAAGAAGAAGAAATCATTGGGTTTCAAAGAAGCCACAAAACAAGTGACATTAATACATTTATTTAAAAAAAAAACGGAGGAACTAACATCAGAGACTGAACAAAACTGCAACATTAAAAGTGTTCCGATCCACTTTCTTTGTCAACTGTAGATCATGGTAGATTGGTAAACTACATGGACATGATAAATGAATACAAAATCCAAATACCACTCTGACTTACAGACATGAGGGAAAGCATATCAACCAAGCACAAAGTGTGAAAAGTATAGATATAAATTGTGTGGTCATAAAATTTGTGTTTTTCTCTTATAAAATGTAATGTGTAATGTAATTCATTACTTAAACAAAGTAATTGTAATTTAATTAATTACTTTTCTAAATGAGGGTAATGGTAATTGTAATGGTAAAAATTTCGAAGTAATTGTAATTTAATGCATTACATTTAAAGTAATTGACCCCAGGTCTGGTATGTTTTAGATGCCTTTATGGAATGAACATTCAGATACATAAAAAAGATCTTATTCTTTTGATTTAATTTACATGTAAGCACTTGTTTCAGATGTCATATTATGTGCATAGCTACTATTCATGATCATAGAGCATTCATGAACACATCTTTGGATAGTACAATTACATGCATCATATATAGATCATTATTCGTTTGTCAAGTGGTGATACAAGAGGGAGTGATTCCAACAAGGCACTTTAATGTGTTATGGCTCTTATAGTTATTGTATGTTTGATGCTGTGCTCTAGGGGTACGTGGCCGCTGAACAAACATCTCTGTTCAGTCGACTACTCTGAACTCTTGTCCAAGGAAAAGCATTCTTGAATGAGTGTGGTATGAATTTCCTTATACTTGTGCTCTTGAAGGCCATTTAATTTGAGGTCCAAATACCTATATAAAATACAGTTACTTAGTAATACTTTTCAAAGTCAAAATACTAATATTCTGTGTGAATTATATTATTTGTGAATCTAAATAAATAAATATATATATATAATATATTTACCAATTACCAGTAATTAATTTATTTAAGGAAATAAACCATTTGTAATATAATAAAAAATTAAGATATATTCATAAAATATTAACAATATTTAGATTTTTATTTGAAACTTAGACAAATTAGTGAACTTGCAGTTTGAATCTAATATTTCTTAGTAACACACCCTATATATGAGATTAATCCATGTGCTAAATATTTGGTATACCTGACTCTCGGCTACCCCAAACAAGTTAGCAAGTAAAGAGGTGTTGACACCAAGTCAAATTCTAAGGAGTGTGATCAAGAATTCTTCGAATCTAGTCAGCTTCCTGGATGGCCCTGTTTTTTTTTTTACATTGACCCTTTTCACACTTCTTCTCTGTTGATGTAGAGGTATACATGTATACTCATAGCGGTTGTACTCGCATATGCATGCTGAGGTTTTTCAATGGAGGTGGTTTCTATTTTGGAATCTTGAAATTGTAGCGACTAAATAGGGTAGGGATAGGATTGTTTTCAGTGGGACAGCCATCTACAAAATGTAGGGAACAAACGGAGTGGTATCGTCTAGGGGAAAACTCCTCATCTCGAAAGACCTGCTGAGGCCGCTGCCTTCGTAATTTGAGTTTCCTCTTAAAATTGGACGCCTTGCATCCAAGGATAAGTGGCTCAACTGGCCTCCCGTCTGCTGCACACCCTGACAAAGAACACCAGTAGTGGCTGGGAGTATCTGTGTTCTTCCTTTTTTTCAGACGTCGAATAATTTCGTCTGCTCAATATTTCGTTGCGATGTAAACATTCGCCATTACAATGCCCTACATTTCCTTATTATCACGTGACTGCTGTGTGTAAAAGTCAGCCGTAAACCACGATTCCGGCGTATCTCGAAAGTTCCGTATTGAGCAGGAATTTGAGGCGAAAAATGCAAATGAGCTACGCCCGGAAAAATAAATGACGCCCGGAAAAAATTTACGCCTGGAAACTAAAATGACGCCTGAAGCAGAATTATGCCTGGAAAGTCCTTATTATTATATAATACTATGTGACCTAAAAACCTATATAACCAAGAAAAACATTTAGGTCATGACTTACAATGTTAAAGTTAAAAATTTAGCCTATTGAACTGTAAGAAAACATAATAACAGGTCATTAACATAGTATAGAAATATAATTTATAAAAGCATGAAGTAAGAGTAGTCAATATATGCCTGGTTGTATGAACCTCTAAGGTCAAGGTCAAACATGGAGTAGACCTTTTTTCAGCTTGATGATCTTTTAAGAAACTTTTGTACAAAATATGATATTGTTTGTTTAGCTGAAACAATGCTGATCGAAGGATTCAACAAGAAATCTTCCAGGATTTTCTCCACCATTTGTATTGAACTCAAAAAAAAAACAAAGAAAAGGGGTAGACCATCAGGTGGATTACATGTATATATTAAACCTACGATATACCAACACTTCAAAAAAGTATTTCAAAGTGAAAATAGCATTTGGCTTGAAATTAACACTCGAAATACAAAATCACAACAGAATATTGATTCATATTATTTTTGCTTCTGTTATATAAAACCATACGTAAGTAAGGCAAAATCGGAAGAAGTATTTTCTAATTTAGAAAATGAAATTGCAAACTATAGAAGCAAAGGAGAAATTTTTGTTTGTGGAGATTTTAATGCTCGTACAGGGGGGCTGCAAGATTTTATACAACATGACACACTGAATGATACATTTTTGGATTGCCCTCTTCCAGAATACATATATGAACCTGACATTTCAGTGAACAGAAACCAACTTGATAAGACATCAAATTTACATGGACACCTACTTACAGATATTTGCAAAACATATAGATTATCCATCCTGAATGGAAGATTTCTTGGTGACTCACTTGGCTATTTTACATTTTTTAATTCTAATGGTTCAAGCACTGTTGACTATATGTTGGCATCAAGTCAGTTGTATCATAAAATTGAACATTTTAATGTATTACCTCCTACAGAAATATCAGATCATTGCCTTATTACTGCAAGTATTAATATGAACACAAATGTGTTTTGCAATGAAAAATATAAAATGCACTCTTTGAAGGGGAAATATCTCTGGTCAAGCACTTGTAAAAACCAATATGCAGAAGCTATTAATGAGGAAGAAACTAAAAATCAAATACTAATGTTGGATAATTTACTTGACCAAATATATGATGATAACACATATGATTCAAATGATCTTGTCTATAAACTATCAAGTATTATAATTAATGCAGCTAATAAAAGTGTTCCATTTAAACCTGCAAAATTTACAAAATCGCAACGAAAAAATAAACAAAGACCAAAATGGATGACTACAGATTTCTTACTCCTACGAAAAGAAGTTAGAAATTTAGGGAAGAAAGTACACAAATATCCAAACAACTGTGAACTAAAACATGCCTTTGCAAAATGTAGAAAAGATTATAATAAACTAAGGAAAAGTCTTAAATCTAATTTTTACATTAGTATTGCAGAAGAAATTAACGCGCTTTCGCCACAAAACTCCAATAAATTTTGGAATAATTAAGATAAAAGAAAATAAATCAAAGAAAACTAATGCAGAAACAATTGGAATTTCAGAATTCGTTGACCACTACAAATCCTTACTGAACATTCAATATACTGATGAATAGAGCTTGAAATACAAGAACACTGAACTACAATGTAAATACTGAACCAAATCCATTAGACTTTTTGTTTACTCAAGATGAAATAGAACAAAGCATTTTAAAGCTGAAAAAATAAATGGTGAAAGTGCTGGGCCTGACTTAATTTTAAATGAGTTTATTAAAACAAACAATACTACCCTTTTACCTGTCCTTACAAAACTGTTTAATATTCTACTTAAAAATGGAAAAATGCCCAAAGAATGGAACCTTTCACTTATAACATCATTATACAAAAATGGTGATCCTAATAATACAAACAATTATAGGGGTCTCAGTGTTACAAGTTGTTTAGGAAAACTTTTTTCAGGCCTTCTACAGAAACGCTTAGATAATTATCTTGAGTCAAATAACCTACTAAGCCAATATCAATCTGGATTTAGAAAAGGTCATAGGACCACTGACAATATATTTGTACTAAAAACACTTGTAAACAAATATCTTTATACAAAGAAACAGAATTTATATGTGTGCTTTGTAGATTTTTCAAAAGCATTTGATACTGTGTGGAGATCTGCACATTTATACAAATTGAATAAAAAGGGTATTGGTGGTAACTTTCTCAAATGTTTGACAGACATGCATGTATACAAATATACATACTATTCTTGTAAAAAGGACAATCAAATGAGTGAAAAATTTAAAGCCAATAGAGGAGTCAAACAAGGTGATAATTAATTTAAGTCCAACACTTTTCAATATCTTTGTTGATGATTTTGTGAATTAAATGTAAGCACATATCCTGCATATCTAGATACTATGCCAATAAATCATATGTTTTTTGCTGATGATCTTGTCCTTGTATCAGAATCAGAAGTTGGTCTACAAAACTGTATAGATGTTTTAGGAAAATATTG